GCTCCTAAAAATGATACAGTAATACAGTCTGAAAACTACAACAGTGGAGGACCCGGGCGGGTGACACGGGAGCCCCAAGGGGAGGGGCAGGAGGATGCAGGGCATTTAGGGCTTGAGGAGTTGGCACTTAAGTTTTTGTTTGTTTGTTTTTTAGATAGAAAGAACAAGTGGGGGAGGGGCGGAAAAAGAGGGAGAGAGAGAGAATCCCAAGCAGGCTCTGCACTGTCAGCACAGAGGCCGATGTGGGGCTCGAACCCATGAGTCGTGAGATCGTGGCCTGAGCTGAGGTTGGATGCTTAACTGACTGAGCCACCCAGGCGCCCCTAGGGCTTGAGGAGTTGGGAGTTCAATGGACAGGAGGCTCAGAGTCCTGGACATCTGCTCACAAACCTAGCTGGACCAGCTAGGTGAGGAGAGGGGGATATGACCATTAGAGTGTTATATATTCATTTTTTAGTGAAAATGGCTAAATACATATTTCTTCATTGCAAAAGTAAGGCTCATCATAGAAATGGGGCAACTTCAAAAGATATAAACAAGCAGCTATCTGTAATCCCACCACCCAAAGATAACCACTGTTAACATTTTTTCATTTTTGAGAGACAGAGAGAGATAGAATGTGAGTGGAGGGGGGTCAGAGAGAGAGGGAGACACAGACTCGGAAGCAGGCTCCAGGCTCTGAGCTGTCAGCACAGAGCCCGACACAGGGCTCAAACTCAGGAACTGTGAGATCATGACCTGAGCCGAAATCAAGAGTCAGACGCTTAACTGACTGAGCCACCCGGGTGCCCCAAGGAAGGCCAGTATTTGAACGATGGTCTGTCTGACTCCAAAGCAGAGCTTTCTGGGTCGTTCGTGAGGATTTTTGAATTCATTCCAGAGTGTGTTCTCAGACGGGTTCTTACGTGCTTACTTTTCAACGTTTATTTATTTTTGGGACAGAGAGAGACAGAGCATGAACGGGGGAGGGGCAGAGAGAGAGGGAGACACAGAATCGGAAACAGGCTCCAGGCTCTGAGCCATCAGCCCAGAGCCCGACGCGGGGCTCGAACTCACGGACCGCGAGATCGTGACCTGGCTGAAGTCGGACGCTTAACCGACTGCGCCACCCAGGCGCCCCGCGTGCTTACTTTTCAAGGTTCCTCTTTGGCTTCTGCCAGAGTTTGGCAGGCAGGGCTAGGAGGTCTGCACCTGCCCAGGTCATACCTCTGTTAAGTCCTCTGTTACCCTGACTGTCGCAGCCTGGACCCTGTGATTCGCTGACATTCCTCCCCTCTCCTTTCATTCCAGATCACTTTTGTTTTCCAGAACTCTTTCAGTTGGTCATCATTTTGGTTGCAAGCAACGGAAAACTCAGCCTGAACTGGTCTGAACAATAAAGAGAATTTATTGGCTCACGGAACGGAAAAGTACCAAGGGAAGATTGCCTCTGGGTGTGGTTTGTTCAGGACGCTGGCTCCAATTCTCTCAGTTCTGTCTTCCTTTGTGTGTTAGGTTTTGTCTTTGGACGGGTTTGCCGTTCATGACGGTAAAATGGCATCCAGCCATAACAATACCACATCCTTGCTTTTCCACAGTCACCAAACAGCCATCCTGAACTTGGCTCTGCGTGGTTCATCTTAGGTTACATATGTACCCTGCGCCTGGCACTGTGGCAATGGGGGTGATCACTGGAGAGAGGGGAGAATCCTCTCCTCCACCTCCCTTGCCTTTATTCTGGTCCCCAGGTCCAAGCGGGTCCTTCTGCAGGAATGTAAAGAGATGCTGACACTGACATCAAAGCTGACATAGGGACGGAATAGGTATACTTACAGCCATATTGTGCTGTTCACAGGCTCTCGCCTAGAAGCTTTCATTTTTAGAACGGAGTGGCGAGAAGAGGCCCCCGCACTTTGCCAGAGGACTGGCATTCAGGCTACACATGTCACAACAGTCTTTGTGGTACTGGATGTTCTGCACAGAATAGAAAGACGCTTTCCCATTAGGAACATTATAGATCCGCTGAAGAGGGAGCAGTTCTAAGCAGGAAGGTGCGGTACAGCAGATATGTTGGGTGGGCAGATTGCCGGAACATTTTCAAGTGGATAACATTTTATTCCAAGCTCATCTATGTGTGCCTTTCCCCTCCTTCAGTGCAATGCTCTTTCCTTTCTTTCCTTCCACGAAAGGGAACTTCTTTTAAATTTTTTTTTTCAACGTTTATTTATTTTTGGGACAGAGAGAGACAGAGCATGAATGGGCGAGGGGCAGAGAGAGAGGGAGACACAGAATCGGAAACAGGCTCCAGGCTCTGAGCCATCAGCCCAGAGCCCGACGCGGGGCTCGAACTCACAGACCGTGAGATCGTGACCTGGTTGAAGTCGGACGCTTAACCGACTGCGCCACCCAGGCGCCCCAAGGGGACTTCTTTTAATTAAAAAAATTAAAAAGAAATTAAAATACAACTCATTGGCAAGTTCGCGAACATACAGCGTATACAATGTGCTCTTGGCTTCAGGAGTAGATTCTCATGATTCATCGCTTACGTACAACACCCAGCGCTCATCCCAACAGGTGCCCTCCTCAGTGCCCATCATCCATTTCCCCTGCCCGCCCCCCCCCCATCAACCCTCAGTTTGTTCTCTGATTTTAAGAGTCTCTTATGGTTTGCCTCCCTCTCTGCTTGAAACTATTTTTCCCCCTCCCCCCATGGTCTTCTGTTAAGTTTCTTAAATTCCACATATGAGTGAAAACATATGATATGTCTTTCTCTGCCTGACTTCTTTCACTTAGCGTAATACCCTCCGGTTCCATCCATGTTGTTGCAAATGGCAAGAATTTATTCTTTCTCACTGGCAGGTAGTATTCCATGGTATATATAAGCCACATCTTCTTTATCTATTCATCAGTTAATGGCCATTTGGGCTCTTTCCATAATTTGGCTATGGTTGATAGCACTGCTATAAACAGTGGGGTACACGTGCCCCTATGAATCAGCACTCCTGTATCCTTTGGATACATTCCTAGTAGTGCAATTTCTGGGTTGTAGGTTAATTCTATTTTTAATTTTTGAGGAACCTCCACACTGTTTTCCAGAGCGGCTGCACCAGTTTGCATTCCCACCAGCAGTGCAAAAGAGATCCTCTTTCTCCGCATCCTCGCCAACGTCTGTCATTGTCTGAGTTGTTAATTTTGGCCATCCTGACAGGTGTGAGGTGGTATCTCAGTGTGGTTTTGATGTGTATTTCCCTGGTGAGGAGTGATGTGGAGCATCTTCTAATGTGTCTGTTGGCCATCTAGACGTTTAACTCTTGTCCTCCGGATCAGCTTCCCCCTGGAGACCTAAGCTACCAGTGTTGCTACCCCTACACTCATCCAGAGGACTGCTTGTCTTTTGCTTCTTGGGCTTGAGGATGGACCAGCCCCTTCCCCTCCATACCTCAGTCACTCATTGGTTTAGATGGGAATGCTGTACTGACTGGACTGAGGGCGTAAGAAAAGCAGAAGGGAGTTTTATACAAAGAGTATAAATACAATAGGTATTCACTGGGGCTGCTCCTGCCCTGGTCTTTCTCACTGGTCCCTTGCAAGAACTTCCCCATCCCGCAACTGCCGCCCCCTTGTGGCAAACACTCTCTTCCCCCCTGTGGCCTCAGCTTGCACTTGAGGATGCGTGGGCGGTTTGCAGACAGGCCCCAGACAGTCTGTTCTCTTGTGTGTTACCAGTCACTGTTTACTGCCCCAGGATTACTTTTCCCCTAGATGATTAATAGTGGAATGTCTATTCCCTTCAGGGACTACCCCATCTTCCAGTGCTTTCTGATCGAGGTATCAGATCAGGATAGTAAGGCATGAGTGAAAGCATGGGTGGCCCCAGGACAATTATCTCCTTATACTTCCTGCTACCGTTCGTGAATGATAAGAGCACCCAGGAGGAGTGCCAGTGGCAGAATTGTAGGCACTGGGGGCATGATTAATTGGCACTTATGGTAGGGGGTAGATTTTATGCTTGAACAGGTTGGTGCTGTGAACCATAGAGGATGATTGGGAGAACACAATCCCAGACAGACCAGCCTGGCTGTGTGGAAGTGAAGCTTTCAGGCACACCTTATATATGACTGTGTGGCCGAAAGCAATAGACGCTCTGAATCATGGTGGTGATCCGATCCATGAATCACAGGAGGTATGTCTCATTTTTTCTACAACCATCAATTGAGCACCTGCTTTGTTCCCTGGTAGAGGATCAGAAGGTGGGTCAGAGAGGGTCTTTATTCTCTAGGAGCTCACGGTCTCCTGGGGGAAGGCTGACTTGTAAACCTATCATTACAATACGGTAGGATTCATGTTGTATCAGAGAAGTGGTTACAGTACCAGAAGAATGAAGCCAGGGGACAGACATTAGCTGCTGGGAGCAGCTGAGGCAGGTTGCAAGAAGTCACCCTTCATTCTGGGAGAGAAGCAAGTTGACGTTAACTCCAACCCCTCTGTTCAGGGATTGCCCCAGGTCCAGTGGTCTCCCTGTGGTCCAGCCAGACTGCAGGAGTGCCCACCACTCCCCCCAACCCCGTCCCTGCCCCACCCCCCGCCTCAGGCTATTCCAATCATCCAATTGTGGATAGTGATTGCCCCCCACCCCCGCCAGGCCCTCCTAAGTGGGGGGCTCCTACAAGGCTCACCTACAGTGGGGTCCTGAAGTCTCTGTCAGAAGCAAAGTCCTCTCCCCTTTATTCATACCCAAGCAAGTTGGAAGCTTTCAAAGGTGATCTGCTAGGGAATTTAAGGGATCAACAAATGGAAACAAACTCCAGAAAAGGAAGAAAATAAAAATAGTCATCCATGTGGAGAATTCAGATAGTGGACCCTTGACTCTATCTTCATGTCTGGTACCCCTGCGTGGACATACAGATCCTGGAAGTCTCTAACGCCCTGTGGTCCCTTGACTTCATCTGTTCTCCAAATACGGTTGTGGGCAGGGCTCAGAGAGGAGGTGTGCTAGGAAGAGGCTTGTCTATTTCCCTTTATTCATCAAGTTTCCTCTAACTGTTAAGTCACTCTGATCTGTGAGTTCCAGGCTCTTACAGTTGGACACACCTTGCCAGTGCCTCAGGTAGGAAGCAACCTCTACTGCCAGGACTTTCTTTGGGGAGGGAGATTTAGTTTGATTGTGTTTTACAAAATGCATCCATTTCTGTGGGACCTGAAGATTTGTGCTCACTTGGCTTCTTGCCTGTTCCCTTGTGACTGTGTATTCAGTTCTGACCTCATACGTGCTTGTAGGTGGTAACAAGGGGGCCACGGTCTTGTCACCTCCTCCTTTCACACCTCCCCCTTTTTGGGGGGGAAGAGGCTTGCTTTGCCCTAAAATGTTGTCTTCTGTAAAAAAAAAGACGGATTGGCAAGGGGAGAACCTCCTAAAGTGTGTGGATCTGAATGAATTTCTAGAACCTCAGGCTTGGAAGCAGCTCAGGGGTTAAATACGCTGCCCGCTTCAAGTTTGCAGATGACAAAACTGAAATCTATAAAGGTAAAATCACCCACTCAAGGTCACACAGCTTATTAATGATAAATCAGGATGGAATGAAGACTGGATAGCAGGTATTCTTATTTCTTGGTAATTTTCCAAAGGTTTTCAGACTGTTTTCTGGAGAGCTTGGGAGTTTTGGGGGAACCATCTTAGCAGGTGTCTGGGTAGAGATGGAGCCCCCCCTCCTTCCCAGCAGCTGACTTTAAAAATAAAATGTTTAAAAATGATTATTTATTCTTGAGGGAGAGAGACAGACAGACAGAAAGAGGATGACCAAGGGAGGGACAGAAAGAGAGAGAGAGAGAGAGAGAGAGAGAGAGAGAGACAGAGACAGAATCCAAAGCTCTTCCAGGCTCTGAGCTGTCAGCACAGAGCCTGATGTGGGGCTCGAATTCACAAACCGTGAGATCATGACCTGAGCCGAAGTCAGATGCTTAACCGACTGAGCCACCCAGGCGCCCCGCAGCAGATGACCTTTGATCGGTTTTACACATTGGTCTTCTGGTATGATTTTGCTTCAGCAAAATGTTTCCCAATTTAGGAAGATAATTGAAAACTGCTGATGGTTCTGCGGATATTTAGGGAGTGATATGAGGGAACAAGATGGGGACTTCTCTCAAATGCTGATGCTGTGAAACTGACCTCTAAAGAAGTCTAAAATAGGGGCAAAGGAAGGGATCTCCTGTTGCCAAACCAACAGAAAAGCAAAAAATATTTGAATAACTTTTCTCACATCCTTGATGAGTGATTTTATTTTGAGTTACTAAATCACATTTCTTTCTTTCTATCTTTCAACTAGAAAGATTCCATGATTGTCTTAATGGAAAATATTGGGAATGACACTGATTGGTGGGAGTTGATGGACGAGTTTGAAAATTTCACTGGCACACCACCCACAGAAGAATATAGTCCCTGTAGGATAGAGATTGAAACACTCAACAAATATACCGTAGTGGTCATCTATGCCCTGGTCTTCATGCTGAGCCTGCTGGGAAACTCCCTGGTGATACTGGTTGTCTTATACAGTCAGGTCAGCCGATCCGTCACTGATGTCTATCTGCTGAACCTGGCCATAGCTGACTTGCTCTTCGCCCTGACCTTACCTATCTGGGCTGCCTCCAAGGCAAAGGGCTGGATCTTTGGCACAGCCCTTTGCAAGGTGGTCTCTTTTCTGAAGGAAGTCAATTTCTACAGTGGTATTTTACTACTGGCCTGCATCAGTGTGGACCGCTACCTGGCCATTGTCCATGCCACACGCACGCTGACTCGGAAGCGGCACTGGGTCAAGTTCATATGCTTAGGCATCTGGGCCCTGTCCTTGCTCTTGGCCCTGCCCATCTTCATATTCCGTGAGGCCATCGAGCCCCCCTATTCCAGCCCAGTCTGCTATGAGGACATGGGTGCCAATACTACAAAATGGCGGATGGTGATGCGGGTCCTGCCCCAGACCTTTGGCTTCCTCCTGCCTTTGATGGTCATGCTATTTTGCTATGGACTCACCCTGCGCACGCTGTTTGAGGCCCACATGGGGCAGAAACACCGGGCCATGAGGGTCATCTTTGCTGTCGTGCTCATCTTCCTGCTCTGCTGGCTGCCCTACAACCTGGTCCTGATCGCAGACACCCTCATGAGGCTCCAGGCAATCAAAGAGACCTGTGAGCGCCGCAATGACATTGGCCGGGCCCTGGATGCCACCGAGATTCTGGGCTTCTTCCACAGCTGCCTCAATCCCATCATCTACGCCTTCATTGGCCAGAAGTTTCGCCATGGACTCATCAAGATCATGGCCATCCATGGCCTCATCAGCAAAGAGCACTTGTCCAAGGACAGCAGGCCTTCCTTTGTTGGCTCTTCTTCAGGGAACACTTCTACTACCTTCTAGGCCCCTGCCCCTGTTGCAGCCCCTCGGGGCTCCTCCCTTGCCATCAGCACCCCATTCTAAGCCTCACACCCACTGGCTGTCCACAGTCTCTATGTCAAGGCAGCCCCGTTGTGGTTACAGGAAGTTACTGGGGTCACGTCCTTATCAGACCCTCCTTGTATGGTTGAGAAAGCCTGCCCTGCTGCCCCTCCCCTTACTGTAGTTGCTATGTCAGCTGCTAGAGCTCAGTCCATCCTACCACTGAGCCCATAGCACCCTGTCCCCTGAGACACTTAAAGACATTTAACAGACATTCTTTTAAGTGACTACAGAAAGTTCCCACCATTGGGAGCCATTAGTGGCAAACAGCATTGGTTGCTGCCCCAACTCTCTCTTTCTTGCCTGTCAGCAAAGTCCAGTTCCCTTGAGAGAGGCCAAAAAGGACAGGTACTCCTTTCTAAGACTCCTTTTTGCTAGGAGTGGCCTTATCATTCACTTCTGACTAATAAGATTTAAGGGCATTAGTGTGCTGGTCAACCACTGTCCTGGGGAAAAAAAAGTCCTGATTTGTAGCATTTGCCAAGTTGCCTGGTGTAAATGCTCCACTGTGGCGATGTCAGGGGTGGTGGTGTTTAGTAACCAGCTCACAAAAATCTAGGAAATGTAATGATCTGCTTTCACAAGCAGGTACAAACTGGCTTCAGTGCACCATTGCTTAAGAGGAAGTCTGCCGGGACTGGAGGACTCCTGGGAAGTACTCCTGATTGAACAAAGAAAGAGAGGGGCACCTGGGCCACCTCAGTTAAGCATTTGACTTTTGATTTGGCCTCAAGTAATGATCCCAGGGTATGCCGGGCTCATGTCATGGATTATTCGGTTAAGAAATGATCCCAAGGTCATGGGATCAAGCCTCATGTTGGGCTCTGCGCTGAGTGTGGAGCTTGCTTAAGATTCTCTCTTTCTCTGTCTCTGCCCTTCTCCCCCACTCACACACACTCTCCTTCTAAAATAAAATGAAAACAATTTAAAAAAAGAATAAAGACACACACACACACACACACACACATCCTTGGTTCTTGCCTTTAAATATGGTTGTAGGATATGATGTGACAAAAAGTCAAAAAGTGTGCCCAACATACTTAAGCAGATGAAGGCAATGGATAAAGAAGACCTAGAATAAAGAGTCCAGAAAGAAACCTAAGTCAGCATAAATGGTCAAATGGTTTTCGATAAGGGCACCAAGACTCTTCAATGGGGAAGGGATAGTCTTTCAACAAATGATGCTGGGAAAACTAGATACCTACATGCACAAGAATGAACTTGATCTCTTTCCTTACACCTCATACAGAAGTTAATTCAAAATGAATCAAAGACCTAATAACAAAAGCTGAAACTATAAAACTTTTGGAAGAAAACATAAAGGAAAAGCTTCATTTGGTTTGAGGTTGGGGGTGGAGAGATGTTCAGAGATGGGGTTTAGATCAAGGTTGAGATTGGAATCAGGGATGAGGTTGGAGTTGGAGGTGATGTGGTGGGGAGCCAGGGATGGGGTGGCAGCTTGGAACAAGGCAGAAGATCAGAGAAGGATGAAAATTAAGGATGGGGGAAATCCAGAACAGGGAGAAATCGGGGATGAGATTGAGGGAGGTTCAGATGGGCTTGGGAGCAGGTACAGAATGAGGTGTAGGAATGGGATGAGTGTGGGGGGTGTGTGGTGAGTCTCAGGGAGAGAAGTCAGAACTGGAGTGAATGCTCAGGGGCTACTAGTGTAGTCCAATTAGTGGTTGGAGCAAAAAGACATCCTTGGGAGAGTGACCATTTTCTGGGGATCATTGTCTACAATGCTTTTCTGGGGGCCAGGATGGAGGTGACTTGGCCTATCCAGCTGGGGTTCTCCAAGGCGGTTGATGAGAAAGGAGTTAGGGCCCAAGCCCTAGGGGATAGATTTGGTGCAGAGAGAAGCCAGACGAATGCAGAAACCCAGGGAGGAAGGCTGGATACTGGGCATGGGAACCTCCCTTTCCTCTCCTTCCCTCCCTCCCTCCCTCGCTCCCTCCCTCCCTCCCCTAATGCCCTTCTGCCTTCTCCTCCTGCCTGATTAAATGCTTATCGTCCTTCATTCTCTGCTATTCCAAAGACCGCTCCATCAGGGCTTTAGTAAGTAAATATGGATCCATATTGGGCCTGAGAAAATACAAATGACTAATACATATCTGAAAACATGCCTGGCCTCGCTAGCAACCTGGGAAATGGGAATCAAACAGTAATAAAATAATTTGGAAGTGTCTTAAATAGGAACGGATATACAGTGGACTCTCCAACAACACTGGTTTGAATTGTATGCGTCCACTTATATGAGGATTTTAAAAAATAAATACAATACTATAAATGTATTTTCCTCCTGATTTAAAAAAATTTTTAAATACAATCCACATGAGGCTCACACTCATGATCCTAAGAGTAAGAGTCCCATGCTCTACTGACTGAGCAAGACAGGCACCCCTTCATGATTTTGTTTTTTAATGTTTATTTATTTATTTTGAGAGAGAGAGAGAGAGAGAAAGAGTGAAGGCAAGTGGGGGAGGGCCAGACAGAGAAGGAGAGAGAGAATCCCAAGTAGGCTCCACACTGTCAATGCAGAGCTCGATGCGGGGCTCAATCTCACAAACCGTGAGATCATGACCTGAGCTGGAATCAAGAGTCGGACGCTTAACCGACTGAGCCACCCAGGCACCCCCTCCATGATTTTCTTAATAACATTTTCTCTAGTTTATTTTATTGTAAGAATACAATATGTAATACATATAACATACAAAATATGTGTTAATCTACTATTTATGTTATTGGTAAGGCTTCCAGTCAACAGTACGCTGTTAGCAGTTAAGATTTTGGGGAGTCAAAAGTTGCATATAGATTTTTGAGTGCAAGGTGTGGGGGTGGGGTCAGTGTCCCTAACCCTGTGTCGTCTAAGGGGCAACTGTACTCAGAACTCCTTCCAAACAAGGGCAACATTGTTCAATTAGATTTCCAATGCAGTGTAATTCTCTGGGTATAGCTCAAGACATAAATAATTTGCATTTCAGATCTGTAGCAATGTCAGATGTGGGTACTAAAATAACACAGTATGCTGAAATATCAAAAACCAGTGTTTAAACCACTAGGTAGGATAAGGATTAGATACCTGGTCAAGGTCAGGGAGATGGTTCGCCTCAGAAAGGGCTTAGTGTCCAGGGTGAGGCTGGGATCAGAGACGGGGTGCATCTTAGGAGGGGACTGGGGTGTCAGAGATGCTAGAGAGCCAGGGATGGGGCTAGGTTAGGGTTGAGGGGAACATCAGGATAGAGTGGGGGACAGGGATTGGGATGTGAATGTATGTTCTGCTCGATGCTTGCTAATTTTAAGTTTTGAAAATTTGTCTTGGGGGCACCTGGCTGGCTCAGTGGGAAGAGCATGTGACTCTTGATCTCAGGGTCATGAGTTCAAGTCCCACATTGGGTGTAGAGATTACTAAAAATGAACGAATGAATGAATGAACTTAAATAAATAAAGAATATCAAGTTTAAAAAAAAATAAAGAGAATTTGTTTTGTAGGCTTGGTTAAAATTTTCCAGCCTCCATGTAATTATGTTGAAATACACTATTTTTCCCTACCCTAGTTACACTTCTGACCAACCATGGCCCCATCGCCATCCCTTGCCTCAGTTCAGTGGCCCGTTCTTACCAGTTCCAGCAAAAACATTAATTGATAGTCTGGGTTTTATTCGAAAGGGGTTTAAGATGACCCCTTTCTGTGCAACTTGCATTCGAACTAGCATCTTTCAGAGGCTGAAAATTCTCGTAGATGCAGTCAAAATAAAAGGGCTGCCTCCTCTTTGGTCTAAGAGTCTTCGTGAGATGTGTCTTTTCTTTCTTTTTTTTTAATTAAAAAATTTTTTTTAAGTTTATTATTTTTGAGAGAGAGAGAGAGAGAGAGAGAGAGAGAGAGAGAGACAAAGCACGAGCGGGGGAGGGGCAGAGAATCCGAAACAGGCTCCAGGATCTGAGCTGTCAGGACAGAGCCCGACTCAGGGCTTGAAACCCAAAGCTGTGAGATCATGACCTGAGCTGAAGTCGGACGCTCAACCAACTGAGCTACTCAGGTGCCCCCTGAGATGTGTCTTTTCTGAGGTGACCACTAACCAAGAAATCATGATGGACTACAGCCTTTTGCTGCAGAGGTTGGAGAGGCCAAAGATCTGCGGGTTTGTCCCTTCTAGAAAATCCTAAGTGGCTAACACCTATGTTCTTAACACTGTTGTTTGTATCCATCCTGGTATTCTGAGTTTAAACTCAAGATCCCTCTTCCAACCTTGAGGGTAAACATGAATTAAAGAATTAGAAATATATAAAATAAACAGAACATGTTTCAGACTTTCTAAAATTAGTTTTTTAAGAAATAAAAGTATTTCATGTACATTGTTTCAAAAAAGTGAAATAGCTTTATAAAGCTTATAATGAACATTAACAGCAACCCTCCTACACTACTCCTTGCAGGGAAAGGCAACAACTTTCAACTTTCATAGCTGTGTCATTTAATGGTGCTGTACATATTTCTTTTTTTAAAATTTTTATTCATTTATTTTGAGGCAGGGAGGGGCAGAGAGAGAGGGAGAGAGAGGATCCCAAGCAGGCTCTGCTCTGGCAGCACAGAGCCCAACTTGGGGCTCGAACTCACAAACCGTGACATCATGACCTGAGCCAAAGTCAAGAGTTGGTCACTTAACCGAATGAGCCACTCAGGCACCCCAATAGTGATATCCATGTATCTGAATATCATGCTTATTCAGCTGGTTCTTGATTCCTGTCCCCTGCACACCCTCCCCCCCCCCCCCCCCAGTTTTAGATATCATTTATTGACCTTCTCCTTTGGCTTCTGAGGATTTAACACTTTTTCAAACTCTGTCCAGCATTTACCACTGTCCAAGCAAACATAAATACTGTCTCTCCCAGTCTCCCAGGAAAGATAATCACACTTTCCGGTTAAACCAACATTCAATGTTTTTGCTATAATGACTATGTAAAAAATTATTCATAGTTGGGTACAATGTTTACATTTTCTTTCTTTGTACAAGTTCTATTTTCTCTGGAATTAACAATAGGATTTTCCATTACTTTTTATTACATCATTCTCAAATGTCTCCCTCAATACATCAATATTCATCAGATAATCTATATATATATATTTCCTTCTTGGAGACTTCATTCATGGGGCCCTTCATAGTCCTGTTTTCGATCTGGACAGGTTAACTCTCCAGGGCCTGCCTTTTTTTTTTTTTTTTTGCCCCCTAAATGGTTTTAACTACATTTCCAGATAGATTTTAGAGTCTGATAGCCAATTTCTACAAAATTATCCTACTGGGATTTTGATATGGATTATTTTGAATCTGCAGATCAATTTGGAGAAAGTTGATATCTTAACAATATTGAGTTTTCCAATCCATAGCGTGGTATCTTTCTCCAGTTTTTTATGTCTTTTCTTTAAAAAAAATTTTTTTTAATGTTTATTTATTTTTCAGAGAGAGAGAGAGAGAGAAAGTGTGTGTGTGTGTGTGTGTGTGTGTGTGTGTGAGCAGAGGAGGGGCAGAAAGATATGGAGACACAGAATCCAAAGCACAGAGCTGTCAGCACAGAGCCCAATGAGGGGTTTGAACTCACAAGTGGTGAGATCATGACCTAAGCAGAAGTCAGCCGCTTAACTGAGCCACTCAGGTGCCCCCGTTTCTTTCTTTCTTTCTTTCTTTCTTTCTTTCTTTCTTTCTTTTTTTTT